GGGTGGTGCTTATTTGAGGTAACATTTTGACAACTTTGTAGCCAGTGGCTCTTAAGCCAGGGTCATCAAACTTTTCATTGTGAAATAGGGAAGGGGATAGGCAAACACACACACAACCAAAACAGACAAGTAATTATTAATGATGTACGTATCATTGCAATTAATTTATTCTGTAAAAAACACTGTTATTGGAATAACAAATGTCAAATAAATAAGAGAAAAAATATGCCAGTTAAAAATGTATGTAAACAACTGTCACAGGAAAATACTGACATGGAAATGAAAATATAAAAAATGAAATGGGATATTAAATAGCTTGTAAATTATTTACATGAAAAAATATAAAGATTGATAATAAAGTAACCAAAAAATTCAGTGTCAGTAAAAATGTTTGTAAACAACTGACACAGGAAAATACTGACATTGAAATGAAAAAATAAAAAATACTGGTACAATTATGCAGTGTCATAAAAAATATTGTTAGCTATGAAATTGTTCAGTGAAATTAATCAAACGAACCCGTCAAAGTCGCTACCACTGTCATCCGAATTGAAATAACGTTGAAGAATTTCTTCATTGCTGAGTTCTGGTTCATCGTCTTCAGAATCTCTGTCGCTACTGACTTCATTGTCCGGTGAGCTGTCGTCGTCTGCGTCCAAATTTACGTTCATCTAAGCGGCTGCTGTTGATTCAATTTCATGCTGTATCGAAGCGGAGCGGTAGTCTGGGTCGTCGGATCCGTCAAGTGCACTACTTATGCCGGTACAGACGAATGACAACTTCACCATGTCAGGTCTGTCTTGAAGTTTGTCCCACGCTCGTGAAACCCAGTTGACGATGTCTTGTTTTGAAGCTGTCTTGGGACGTTCACCTGGAACGATGGCCTTTAGCTGACTGTCGATGAACTCACACCATTCCTTACGTAGATATTCTTTAAAAGGCTTGTTGATCGACACGTCAAGTGGTTGGAGTTTGGACGTACATTCGCCTGGAATTACAGCTCGGTACGTCTGGTTTGATTGAAGTTGGTTGGTTACCGAATCTTCGAGATGTCCGCGGAAGGAGTCGAATATGATGAGTGATTGACGGCCTTTTGTATACGGGAGCCAAATACGTCTGTGCCAAATCTTCATTAATTCGGTATCACACCATCCTTTCTTCTGTACTTCGGCGACCATGCCCTTTGGTACATTCAAGTTCAACTTTCTTACACCTTTGAAAATAATCATTGGCGGTAGAACCGTACCATTTGCAAGAACCATCAAAATTACTGTCAGGAGACTTTTCTCTGCACCAGTGCTGCAAATACTGACCGTCTTTGTCCCTTGCTGAGCGATGGATGTATTCGGCAACAAAGCAAAATATGCCGGGGTCTCGTCCATATTTCCGATGAGCTCAAGTGGAAAATTGTAAGTCCGTCTTTGCTCAACAATGAAGTCATGGAATGCAGTTATTTTGTCTTCGAGTTCGGTTGGCAGTCGTTGGGCCATCGATGTGCGACGTCGCATCGACAGAGAATGTCTACTTAAAAATTGACGCGCACATCCCGCTGAACTCTTGAACATTGGATTGTGCGGACGGATTAGTTCTTTGGCTTTCTGGCGAAGCATATTTGTTGACACTGGAACTTGATTGTCCCGGAGTTCTAGAATCCATTTTACCAGCTTGTCATCAATTTCTTTGGGGTAAGACAGTTTGCCACCACTTCCGGGAATGTTGCCATACCGTGAGACGCGTTGAATATTCAACTTCCCGGTCGCTTCGTCTCTCATCCACCTGGTGACATTACTGTGGTGTACTGAGTATTGTCTTGCGGCTGCTCGCTGACCGTGCTGCTGAGCGTACACGACGATTCGACGTTTCACCGACAATGTGTAGCGATGCCTGAAGTCGGATTTAGTAGCACTCTCAGTGTCTGACCCAACACTTGAATCACTTGTACTTCCGTTGTACAATTGTTTACCAAGTTTGGTACGGCAAACTCCAACTTTTTTCTTGAAAACTGGGAATAACTTGCGTGGCTGTGGCTGGCGTGGTGGTTGATTTGGTGACAATATGAAATAGTTTCGGATAGAATTGATCTGACCAGCAGCGACAGGAGAAGACATATTTGCAAAGCAAGCATGGAACGAATGAAAAAGTGATGCACCATCACTTGTATTTATGGCAAAAACAATAAAGAAAAACACGTTTTTCTGTAGATTTTTACAGCTTGGGTACTTGGGCATTGTTTTAATTGCGCTAGACGTCTGACAGTACAGCTTTGGTTTATATATTTCCTGTTTCATAATCAAGCCAGCTTATAATGATATGCTAATGATATTCACGTACTTCTCAGTCCACGCAAACAGGGTCCATGGGGCCCCCTACCCCCTATACATCCAAATACGAAACGATACGAGTAACAATTACGTGTATAAAAAATAATTTCCTGTGACCAATCAGAGAGACGAAATCATTTATGAAAGCCCAGGCCTGTTACAAGGCATTTTCTGATTGGTACAAGTCCAGATTATTTTCAATTCTCACAAATAG